CCGAATCAGAAGCGTTGAGCCATATAACTAATGTTTGGTTCACTTGATTTTCATACATCTTAACTTCATAAACCGGTCTGTCAAAGATAGGAGCGTTATCATTGGCATCTAACACCAGGATCAGCAAAGAAACAGATCCGGTAAATTCAGGTTTGCCTCCATCAGTTGCTGTCAATAACAACTTTAGCTGAGGATTTTCTTCACGATCCAGCAGCTTCCGCAGAACAAGCACTGGGAGTTTGTCTTTGTCTTTTTTGTTTATAGTATCAAGAACAAAATACTCATTTGGACTGAGTTCGTAAGTAAGCAATGAGTTCTCTCCAACATCCGCATCAGATGCGCCTTCTAGTGGAAATCGAGAGTCAAGCAGTCTGGATTCAGGTATTGAGAGCTTTTGTTCTGTTACGGAGAACCTGGGCGGGTTGTCGTTAATGTCCTTCACTTCCACGTCCACATGGAAAACCTGCAGCGGCCTGTCCACGATCACCTCCAGGTGGATGCTGCACTCCGCGCTCCTCCCGCACAGCTCCTCGCGGTCTATCCGAGAATTCACAAACAAAATGCCATTCTGCAGATTTACCTCCAGAAGGTCCCCGTGTGTTTTGGACGCCACCCGGAACAGGCGCGGCACCAGCTCCGCCAGCTCCAGCCCCAGATCCTGCGTGATACGGCCCACGAAGGAGCCGTGTTTGGCCTCCTCGTAGACGGAGTAGTGGAGCTGGGCGCTCCCCACTTCCCAGGCTGTGAGGAGAAGAAGCGAGAGCAGCGCACACTGGACCCCCAGGCAGCTACATCTGGAAACCATCTTATGCTTCTCTTGCTTTACAAATCGACGAATCAGCGGTCTAGAATGCACATACGATCTGACATTTTCTGTCCTATTTCTTACATCTATTTTTTATCAAAATGGCTGAGATCTCAGAATGAAGCTACTTCCTAGTCCTTGAGAAACTGGCAGATGCCTTTGTTCTAAAAAGCTATTTTGTGGACCACAGCGACATCCGGTGGCTTTAGGTGTAAGTACAAGTCCATGAGTTCACAACTTTTCTTTCATTCGTATGTTAATTCTTTTTTTTAATGTATTTTTATGTCTATGAACTTTCAAAGCCTCACATTACGTCTCTTTATAGTTAATAATAATAAATGTTGATCCCACGTGCAATGTTTTCTTAAATGTAGAATCTCAGAGTAGTGATTTCTTCCCTAACCACATGATTATAAATACCTGAATTTCAAAATGCCCTTAGTATTTGCATACTACTGAGTATACTAATAGTTTATTAAATGACAAGTTTAGTTCCCTTTAAGTTCTGACACTTAACTTATTCTCTTTCTCGTTATTTTGATATTTAATAAAGTTTGTTTAGACACTAATGTCAAGCATCAACTATCTGTGAGGTGTTTATAACTCCGAAGATCTAGTCATCACTAGAATTTAGAGATCATTAGCTTCAACATCAGACATTTCTCATTTAGATTCCTATTATCCTACTCGCTAGCCACATGACTTGGGAAAATCATTTAACCTCTTCCTGCTCCATGTTCCAGTTTTATAACTTTGGCCTAATACTAATATGGTGGTTGTGTGAATTATAATATATTAAGTGCTTGCAATAGTACCTTAAGGAGAGTGAGTGATTCATAAATGGAAACTATTCTCAGGCCTCAATTTGGCCACATTTGTTTTGATGAGGCTCAATACTAAATTTGGCTCATCAGGCAAAATTATTACCTATAGAATGCCTTAATTATTGCTACTGCACAGGCTGAGAGTGGCGGTTTCCGTATTTAAGAAAAGAGAAAAGTGCTGTTACAGAAAAATCCTTTATACAAGGAGAAGTTTCATTTTATAATATCTTACATGGGCAAAAAGAATCTTAATTATAATTCTAAATAAAGTAATTAACAAATTTATTATATCTGCTTTCAGAGACAAATGCTTTCAACCCTGTTATATTTACACTTTTCAAATGCTCAAAAGACACAGTTCTGAAATGTATCTAATAATTTTATCAGTGTCAATGAAGTTTTTCATTACCACTTGTGGTAAAAATATTTTTTCTCTCTCAAAGTTCTTGAAATCAAATATTCAGGAATGAAAATGTAATATATCTGTGCTGCTGAAAAAACTTGGGTTTTCTATCTTTCCAAGAAAGGAAAACTTAGTAACAGAAATTTTGGTCCTATACAAGTGTTAATTTATTTTATTTAATGATGTTTTGGCTTTTCTAAAGAATATTTTTAAATGTGTCAATAACTTTAAACTTTTTTATTAAAATTTGAATGACAGAGCAACAATATTTATGAATAAGAAAACTGACAGAAATGGGTGTCACTTAATCCATCAGTTTACGTGTCCTACTAAATTCTGTTTCTATACTTCTCTACTCCTTTGGCATGCCTCTTGCATCAAAATTCATTCGAATTCTGATTTTAGAGATTACTTTTTTATAAACCTTGAATTAAAATGTAATGAGCTACGTACCAAAATATCAACGTTTGTTTTAGCTATCTGGAGTGTAAAATAAGTTTGCCATTGATCAGTCATCTCCACACACAAAATAATAAAAACTAAACTCAATTTCTACTAATGTACATTTTATACCAAGTAATAACATAAATATCCCAATGTAGATGTCTAACATTGAATAAAAAGTAGGGAGTAGTTAAATTACTCTTTTTTTTTTTTGAGACAGAATCTTGCTGTCACCCAGGCTGAAGTGCAGTGGTGTCATCACAGTTCACTGCAGCCTCAATGCCCCAGGCTCAAGTGATTCTCCAACCTCAGCCTCCTGAGTGGTTGGGACTACAGATGTGTGCCACCATGCCCGGCTAATTTTTTTTTTTATTTTATTTTTTTTGGTGGAGATGAGTCTCACTACATTGGTCTCAAACTGCTGGGCTCAAGGGACCCTCCCACCTTGGCCTCCCAAAATGTTGGGATTACGGGTGTCAGGCCACCACATCTTTTTAGATTGCAGAAACTTGCACATCAAGTATTAAATAGGGCTACGGATCTAAAATTTCAGTTGTATGAGAATCATCTCAGGTGTGCTTTAAAATGAAAATTTGCTCATACTACCCATTTCAGAATTTCTGAGGTGGTCTTAAACCAGAACATTCAATGAGGACTTAGGTGCTGCTAATGCAGTAGCATTAGTAGGTCTAAGGATAGGTTGACCATAGGCCCCAATTTGTCTGGGACAGGCTCAGTTTAGGTCTGTTATCTTGTATACTTATTTACAGCACCCCCTTTGCTCTCAAAGTGTCTAAGATATTGGGTGATAACTTAGTTTTCCCTATATAGTAACCACAACTTGAAAAGAGCTGGCATAGGAGGAGCTTCATTATTGTTTCATGATTCTGACTTGAATTGAGGAATGTTAACTACAGATGCATATAAGGAGAGCTATTACGCAAAGTAGGAAAGTGTCTGTTCTACTCTCACCTCTCTGTTTTGAATTTGACAGCCTGTTTTGAATTTTACCTTCTCTGGATCCCAGTGCGTTCATGTTTGCTAATGACCTCAAAAGATAAATTTATTACTAAGGTATTCACAGCCCTTCTGAGAATTTGCGTATGATGAGAGCTTATATTCTGAGAGAGA